TCATGACTAGTGTTAGGTTGTGCACCTGCACCTAAAGTATTTGCCATATTATAACAGTTGTGACATGATTTTCTATATTTAAATACCGTTCCGGGTGGCAGGGACCCGGTGTAAAAGAAATTATGGTCCCCTGGGGATTATGGTCCCCTTTCCTTACGGCCCTTACTGGCCCTGACTGTGTATAAATAATAAGGAAAATGATTGTAATTAGGTCACCATATAAATCAATAGAGAGTAGGACCAAAATTTGATAGGACCACCTTCCCTTTTACACCGGTATGAAAAAATATTTAGAAAAGTAGCTAACATATAATATTTTCTGTTGAAACTTAAACACAAATTTGTTAAGATGTTGATCTTTATTATCTGAAAGTTTCATGTAATTTCATTAGAAAATAGCAAAGTTAGAGTGGGGCGTCCAAGACTTTTGGATCACCCCTCGTATTAGTCCTGGTGAAATAAGTTGAATAAGTTTGGAAGGACATTTATGGCAATATAATAATTGTGCGCTGAGTACGCGGTCACGCTAAAAATAGAACCCGCTAATAATTGAGCTTTGTATTTATATGTCAATAACAAGAGTTCGGAAAAGTATAGTTCTATTCTAACTCACACTTAAGAAACATAACATCTACTAGCATGTGGCTCTGCGGCTGCGTGCTGCAGAAAAACCGAGTGTATTATTTGTACAATAATGTTATCGTATGTACATGCTGGTTGCCAAAATGTGGCTCTGCGGCTGCGTCGCCGCTGGAAAATATACAAAAATGTTAATAATGGACAATTGATTAGCTTACTCGATAATGTAGTAATAACAAATCTCATTTTCAAACTTAAAAAAAATTTCCGACCACCTGTAAAACCTTTTTCTATCTTTAGCATCACACACTCATTAATGCCCATTATTATTCTGTTGAGAACATGATGCTAAAAATCTTTGAAATCCTCAACAATTGAGGTTAAAGGAAAAAGGTTTGTCCGAAAAATCTTCATTACATTTTAAAGACATTTACTTAGTTTATCTCGCCGCTTAGAGCCGAAGTGATCTTATTCACGAATACATACACCGTTCACTCAGTAATACTGCATTCACAATTACCGTTCTATTTTCATAACGTTAAACGACCAAATAGAAATCATTTTCTTGCTAATTCGTACTACGTGACTCAAACGCAATAAAATACATTTCTATTCTAACTCACACTTAAGAAACATAACATTTACTAGCATGTGGCTCTGCGGCTGCGTGAAGTGTTAAAGTAAGCGAAAATTATATTGATTATTAAGCACAGACATTTACATAAACTGTTGAGTAAGATTCTTAAAATACAAAAATCTTAAAATACAGGTTTTATAATTATAATCCTAAATTCTTTGAAACACTTTATCCTTTTTTACAACGTGTGCTGGATAAAACCATCTTTAACAGTCTCCTATCTGAAATGCCTTTTTTTGCGGCCATTGTTGCACCGCGGGGTCTTAAATATTGCGTTCTAAACAACGTACCATGTCACCACATGACTTAAATGCCTTTACAATAAATCATCTGCACCTTGTGTAGCTTATAGCTTTATCACTAAACTTTAACACATATGATTTGTGATATAAAATTGCTCAAAAAACGAATTTTCATTGCTTATGTTTGCTTCTTTTAAACCATCTTATATTATAAAGTTACTGGACAAAAATCTGAGCATGTTGCTACAATGACGCACTTGCTACCTTCTTATATACTGTTTTTAAATATCTTATATTGATACAAATTTTAGTGTCACAAAACAACAGTCTGAATTTCTAATATGACAAATATCATCAAATCTGAGAAAACCTTGCTAAACCAAGAGCTATGATAAATGTAAACTCAAATTTTAAACAAATCTGAATTAACATGTGATCTGATAAAAAACTGTATCATTTATGTTGTAAATGTGTGTTTATTAGAAGTCGGTTTCGCTAGTGTTCGTTAGGCTGGTTCCACTACTGTCTAATGTCAATGATTTTCAAAAATCATGTCTTAGCTGATAAAATACATACTTCGGGGCAATTGTTTACCCACGTTGAGCGTCTGTCGAAAGCACTGCCGGATGACCCTATTGTGCTTGTGGCTTTGCTGCCTAAATCACACTCGGAAGCTTCTCTTTAAGCCGTCTTAAATCTGGATGCTCAAGTTGTCGTTTTTCATTGAGTGATTTGGTAGCCACTGAAAACCAGTATCTGTACTTTTCAAACATATATACTCAATCTCATTTACAAAGACAACAAAACATGCATAGGCCAAATACAATATATGCCATTTAACAATGCGCCATCCAGATATCTGCTATGTTAGCTTATTTTCTACAATAAAAAAGAAAACAGTATCATTACTCCAGTGATTCACAGACATGTCTCCTTCCGACCTTTTGTACCTTAAACTCTCCCCAGCAAAAGTATATAACCTATAAATGTTTCTTATGAAATGAAAATACTTTTCTTGTGTAATTATTGTTATTTCGTGTATTACGCATAAAACTGCTTACCATTTTCTTCAATTCCTAATGCATGTGTTCTAGATTTTCACTTGTGAAACCACAACTTACCACTATGACGAGTAATACAATTTGCTTATAGTGAAAGCTTCGCTTTTCCTTATTACAGGTACTACAATTCCCCTCATCTCGGGTACTACAATTCCCCTCATCTCGGGTACTACAGTTACCCTCATCTCGGGTACTACAATTCCCCTCATCTCGGGTACTTCAATTCCCCTCATCTCGGGTACTACAAATTCCCCTCATCTCGGGTACTACAATTCCCCTCATCTCGGGTACTACGATTCCCCTTATCTAAGGTACTACAATTCCCTTTATCATGAGTACTACAATCTTATCATGGGTACTATACAATTCCCCTTATCTTGGGTACTACAATTCCCCTTATCTTTGGTGCTACAGTTCCCCTTATCTTTGGTACTACAATTCCCCTTATCATTTGCTTTATGATTCCCCTTATCATGGGTATTACAATTCTCGAATACTACAGTTCCCCTTTTATCATGGGCAGTAAAAGTTACCTTTATGGGTTCTACAATTCCCTTCATATTGAGTTCTATAATTCTCCCTATCATAGGTACTATAAATCCACTTATCATGAATATACTACAATTCTCCTTATCATGTGTACTACAATTCCCCTCATCATGAAAATATAATTCCCTTTATCATGGGTCCCTTTATCATGGGTATTACAATTCCACTTATCATGGGTATTACTACTGCAGTGCCTTGTATGGGTCTGCCTCATTAGCCCTATTAGCAAAACTTGACAAATTGCACTATCAAGCAGGTGTAATATGTGCAGGTGTTCTTCATGGCTCAGATACCTCCAAAGTTTTTCAATGCCTTAACTGGAAAACCCTTAGTCAAAGGAGAAATGAAAAAAATGTTCGGATAATGTTCAAAATAAACAAAAGAAATGTAGCACAATATATATGCGACATATTTGACAAATATAAAAACCCAGCCACCAGACTACTGAGACATTCTATGCCTTACAATATTCCAACTAATGTTTCTATCAGACTCCTTAAAGCCCCTGTCTTAAATATTATAAAACAATGGAACAACCTTAGCCAACTTATAAGAGAATTACCAACCATCTCTAGTTTTAAAAATGCTGTTCGGTCAACAATTCTCCCAAACATAAATTTCATTCCAACAACCAAGCTAAACTTAACAAGGTCAAATGAGAAGATTTTAAACAGACTTCGTGTCGATTTCTTTTTAAAAGAACACTTTTTCTCTCATAATTTTATTGGTGTAACCGACAACAAGTGTCCATGTGGATCCCCTGAAAATACTAAGCACTTTCTCCTTTCTTGCCCCCGCCATACTGATGATAGGACAAACATGATTACTGCACTTAGACAAAACAACCTTCTCTATGATGAGAACATCTACACCAACCGAAATGATCAAGTCAAATATCTCCTCTATGAAAATACCCTTAGCCGTGATTCACAAAACTTACTTCTTAACATTGTGCTCAACTTTGTTAGATCATGTTACATTTACCCATTGAGAATCTAAAACTTGCCCAAACCTCCTGGACCAAAATATCCCCAACAACTAAGCAACTAAGCAATTAACAACAAAACTTTTCAATAGTTTTATGCACTTTTTTTGTTTTATTATTACTTGCTTCTAAACTATATTTATGTTAAAGCGACCTGTAATGCCAAATGGCGATTGGTCTTGCTTACTTGTACTTTGTAAATTACTATGATTTAAGAATAATAAAAACATTAATAATAATAATAATAATCATGGGTATTACAATTCCCTTTATCGTGGGCACTACAAATGTTCTTACCATGGGTACTATAATTCCCCTGGTCATTTTATACTACAATTTCCCGTATCATGTTTAGTACTATTCCCCCTATCTTGGGCGCTTCAAATTTTCTTTATCGTTATGTTTTATAAATTTCACTTTTCATGAGTACTATAGTTCCATTTATCTTGGTCACTGCAATTCCCTTAAGATTTGCCTTTTTCTACAATCTAAACAGCCTCTAATATTTTTCTCTCACATCTCTTCATTGTCAATTTAACATTTTGTAAAATTTCAGTCTTTCACTTACACCATATTTTCAATGCAAATAATTCGTACCTCTGAAATGGGCTTCTTGAAATGTTGACTCCATTTTTAATCCCGGTTAAGTAATGAACCATTGTATTCAAGGACTTGTTTGATAAAGGGACGAAATGTTGTACCATTGTGTATACTTGGCCAAGAAATAGCTGATTGCCATTTTTGAAACTATCAACCGGTACCTGAACTTTTTGTGCATTGCATATCCATGTATTTGACTGCATTTCTTAAGTTTTACTGCTGAAAATACTCTGCTTAAATCTGCGCCCCGGTTCTATGAGAATGCGTCGACAAAATTAATTTCTTTTTGTTTTGATTTTCAAAACGATCAACAGTGTGACCTGAGACTAACATAACTGACTGTATCTTATTTAAATTGTCAAAAAACTTTTGATTCCGCAGTCATCGTAATCTACCAATTTTCTAGCAGCTAGACTTTGCAAATGAGGTTTTGGGATACCCATATTCACAATAATTTCAAAATATTTGTTATCCATAAACCATTTTAGAGACTCTCCTCTGAAACAAGTGCAGAAATGATTCTAACCACCATCAGAACACCCTTTTTAAGTTCGATCCACTCATTTTCATTAAGTTTCTGTCAATGTTTGAAACAAATTTTTGATTCACATGTCACTGAATAACCGTCAACCTGAATCTCTAGCATCTGAAGATACCAAATACCTTTTTCTTGGAGACTCTGATACGACCTTGCCGTTCAGTTTTGTCAAATTTTGAAACCAAAACTGTTGTGTTTCTGCCTTTTTAGACAGTTAAATATACATGTAGCAGTCCCAACTTTGAGTTTCTTTGATATCTATAGATAAACATTTTGTCATCAACCTGTCAACATTGCCGATAGCTGTTATCATTTATATGATCTTAACAAAGTATTATTGCTATTTTCTGAAAACCATTATAGCATTTTGATATATTCAAGGTCATTTAATATCAAACACAAAATACATATTATTACGGTTGTGTACTGAACATTTTAACAATCCAGTGCATCATTTCCACTATGCTCTGTGCAAACGGCAATTCAATGTTACCAATGCCATCCTTCATATAGTATCCTTAAACGTATAATATATAATTGGAAGGAGAATTACACTATCAATCGTTCATTATTTCTTTTGATTTACTGTCTCAATTCAGCCTTTTACTTAACATTCATATTTCGCTTCCTCCTTTAACTAATAGTAAATATTTCTCTCAATAAAAATATATGAGTACTATATTATCATGTTTTGACTGTTTCGTGTAGTATGAATATTACCACACTCACCTTTACCAAGGTACCACTCTCAGGGGTCATTTATTCTAACTTGCCATTATATTGAGAGCTAAACTGTTACTTTTGTGCTTACTACAATACCCTCGATTATTGATACTAAATCTTTTCTAATCATGGGTACTACAATACCCCATCTACGGTACACTACGATTGCTTTCTCATAGGTAATCCCCCTTTATTATGGGTACTCCAATTCCCCCTTATCATGTACAGCTGTATATAACAATCCCATCATTAGATCGTTCACGCTTTACCGTTTCCTATTATTGGTACTACGTTTTACATCCTTTAAGACAATTTTTACATTTTACATCAATCATATATATTCTTCTTAAAATTACTTGATAGGTTTTTCCTTTTCAAAATCTTAACATATATACATGTTAAACTTAGTTATTTACATTTATCATTTTCTTCTATTTAAAGCCAAAAACTAGCATGTTCTTCAAGACTATCCTCAACAGTTAACAAATTCCTTTTCAGGTATATCAGTACTTATCTTTTTAGTCTTTGGTGTGCCCCTAATTGTGCAGTCTTGGTTCTTGTAATACCCACTTAGCAGATTGTCTTTCTATAATTCCGCAGCCGTAATAAACCTCTTTTTGTTGAACCATCGATGAACTTCTTTGTCTGCTTCATTTTCCCCATCATTGTTTGTGCGGTCATCTTGCCTGAATCTTTCACTGACTGATTGGTATCTATTTATCTACTTAAAAGATTATAGATCACATAAAATAATCGCTTATATTCATTGAATAAGATTATTCAACTTACAGATAATGATATGATAATATAGGTTTCTTTGTATTTGTTATATTTAATTTTAACCTTCATAAATTAGCTTTTGGTATCCTGCCAAAGTATCACAACCAGCCCCACTCTGGTCTTCTTAAATGATTACTTCAATTTTAATCTGACAAAAGTTCCTTACCCTTTTTCTAAACTATGCATGCCTCATACAAATGGCCGTTTGTTCTGCAAATGCATGGTCCGCTTTCTCGTCAATTCCTTTGTTGTCTATGTACTGTTGTTTGTGCCCATTTTTCTTCCAAATTATGTTGTTGTTTTTTC